GGCAGTTGGTTGCCCTGCATGTCCTCCTGGGTGTTGTTGTGCTCCCCTAGGCGTAGACGGAGAGTGGGAATCAGTAGTATTGCATACATTCCCACCTTTAGATTGGTGAAAGGTCGTATGCGGAGGGAGAATCGTAGGAGGTTTGGAGGATAGTTTAGATGTATTTTTCTTGCGTACTCCTCCTTCTGGACAAAGACTTTGATGTTTTCGAGCCAAGCTAAGACTGGGCGTGTTCCCCTGTTGTAGGTTATCATTGCTGCCACTTCTTGTTGAAAGTCGTCGTTTTGTTCGGCAAGATTGTGAGGAGGTGGTGGGGTTTGTGGTGGTGATTGGGTAGGTGGGGTCAGTGGCTCCATCACTGTGACTGGTGGAGCTGGTAGAAAGTATGGTTGTATCCAGGGTGTTGAGGGGGTTAGTTGTGTTGGCGGGTAGAGTGGCATTTGAATGATATTTGGTTATAGGTGGATTGTGTCCCAGGTTGGCATTGGTGGAGTTAGAGGTTGGTAGGGTGCTAGATATGGGGCTTGCATCATAGACCAATGGTACCTACCATAGATGTCCGACCCTAATCGCATCCCCTCCGCGATTATTTGAGCAAGGTCCATCGGGTTGTTGATGAGAATTGTTACTTATTGATTGTTTACTTCCATAGTGAAGGTGAGGGCATGGTTTTGGAGTCCCACTTCCAACCAAGAGGTTAGGTTGGTCGTTACATGGGGTGTTTGGGCTGTGAATATTCTGGTATTTGGTTCCATTATGAGTTGTGGAAGAGGAATTGAGTGCGGGGTTCATTGATTCACTAGTCTGTGAGTAGTGTTCCTGTTGTGGTAGTTGGTTCTTCTGTGTGGGTAAGGGAATTGAGTGGGGTACATCTTGAATATTTGAAGAGGATGAATTTGAAGGCAGTGGGGTATTTGAGGTTGATGATGGTGTTTGTGTATGTAGAGGCGTGTTAGTGGTAGAAATAGCCGGTTCTGGTTTTGTTGATGGGCTATTCATGTTAGGTTGAGATGATGAGCTTTGGTATTGGGTTTTGAGATATCAAATGGGCTATCTGCATGGGGAAGGTAATAGGTTGTGTTGGTTTAGAGGAAATCTTTGCCTTGGTATTATGAAAATTGTTACTGGGGAATTATGGTGGTCTAGGTTTAGTAGGCTAGCTAAGTTGGATTGAATGGAGAGAGTTGAGGGTTCCTGCGTGTCTTGGGGGGCAACATGGCCAGAAAATAGGGTTGCATGGGCCAGCTTTTATGTGAGTAAGTGGGATGTCTCCAGGTGGGTTGGTTGGACATGTTCATGAGGTAGGGGTCTGTTAGTGGGTGTAGGGATTAAAGGGCTGTTGAGAGTGGTTTCTTCATTAATTAATACATCATTAATCAGTAGGTGAGCAAATTTGTTAGTGTTAGTTATAAGAGATTAAACATTGTGATTAGGATTATGGGACTCTTCATTCGCTCCATTAGTGTTACAATTAGTAAAAAGCAGAGTATTAGGGTTATTAGACAAATCTGGATTGTTCACATGGGTCCCTTGAGATGTACATGGCGGCGGAATGAGACCTCTTGTCGACTGAGTGGATGTTGGTTGGGCGGCGCGGGAACTGGGCAGTGATTTTCTTGAAAATTGAACTACTTTCTATTCTTGATTTGGAGAAGGAGTTGGGGTTGATAGAATTTGGGTAGTAGTATTGTGAGAGTTTTGATCTATCGAGGGGTTTGGAGTTGAGACAGTAGGTGTTGGTGGAGAGTGGGTACAACTCGTGTAGTATGTCCTAATTCTCCACAGGTGGTGCAGAGCAAATTTAAGCCTTCATAGAGGATGGTTTGCCGGTGACTACCAATGAAGAATTGGGGTTTTAGGGGCTGTTCTAATGGCACTTCAAAGCAGAGTCTGGCGTATCTTCCTCGGGTGATTCCTGAGGTACATGCATCTATTTTGAGCAATTTTCCAGTTTTATTACCCAGTTTATATAGTATCTCAAAGTCGTAGAACTCTGTAGGTAGTTCAGGGAAGCGCAGCCAAATGGCGGAATAGGTTAGTTTTGTTTCGGAGGCCATGAATTTAGGCTCCCATTGACGGACAGAGAGAAAGTGGCTTAAGATAAACCAAGAGCCATTATGAAGAGCACGAAGCATATTTTCTTTTTGTTGAAATTTAATTAAACAAAAGTCAGATCCTAAATCAATTAGTGTAAGATTTTCATTTGGCTTCCACTGAGCGGATAAGTTTTGGCGAAAGAAGTTGGTGTCCAATTCTGCGTCCGAAAACTTTGACAATGACGGAGTGTTTCCATGGTGCGTAAAGTCTATTTTTCTCCTCCGGTGAGAGTGGGATAAAGTTTGTGGGATCATTTGGTGCGTTACTTTCATCGGTGAGGTCAAGGTGTGTAGTTGGGTGGTGAGGTTGAAGAATAGAGGGGGGTACAGGAGTGTTAGAGATTATCGTGTTGAGGTGAGATGATGGGCGTGTAGATGAGTCGTTAATTGGGGGATCAGGGGAGTCAATATGCATAGAGCCACCAGTTAGGGTGGTTGGAAAGGAAGAGGGTGATGGTGTTGATTTGTGAGCAGTGTTCATGGTTGAGTTGGTAACAAAAATGTAGAATAAGTTGTAGCTTATTTTGCTCTAGTTAATTTGTTTACATCCACTATCTATCTATCTATATACTAGTTTTAGTGTACGTGCGTTGTACGTGCACATCGCGTCAATTAGAATAGAACGTGTAAAAAAGAATAAATTACTGAAAAATAGTAATTGATGTTATATAAACTAAATGTCATATTTGTTCAAATAATCAAAAGAGAGGTTATTACATTAATACAATAATTGAATTCATTATCTTCAAAATATATAAAATGATGAATATAGTTGAATTAGTTATATGATATTTGGAGTTTTGAGATTTTATTATCATTATTATATATATATATATATATATATATATATATATATATATTATGTAGTTATATCTCACGCAACATCTCTTTTATTAATGTTATATTCATAATATCATAATACAAAAAAAATAATAAATTAGTTATACTTAATTAATTGTTCATTTTGGACAAACAAGTTTTATCAATGCAACTAAACACATAGTCTTTCAGTTGGTATAAATTAAGTGATAATCATCGTGTAAGGAATAAATTAGTTTTTTATTTTATTGGACAATACAAAAATAAAATCTAATTTTAATTTATCAAGACTCTAAAATAATATTTTATGTAGAAAAATGAGGTAAAGCTACTTTATAACAAAAGATATTAAAAGTTTTAAACTGTGTTCTGCTCTTTTCGTTTTTTCTTTTTTCTTTTTCTGGGGTTTAGTCTAAACATTAATTTTTTTGATTTAAATATTTATATGTTTGTTTTTAACATGTAAAAAATTGTTTTTTGTAACTTAAGTACATAGAATTCTTATATGTACATTTAAAGGTCATCAAAATTATAAATACGATACATGAACCTCTTCTTATGTAAAAATATTGGCTAGATTCTTATTGGTCTAATTCTAAATGTCTTCTATTCATATTCATCGAATACCAAGTAAAAGTTAACACTACCTTAAACTCATTCTGAATAAACTCTGCGATTGACAATTTTGAAATTTTAAAATCAAGTTCATTAAGACAATTTTTCAAATTTATAGTTATTTCAAAGTTCCAAGTAATATTAGTTTATTTAAAGTTTAAATATCAGTTATAGTTATAAATTTACATAGTATGGATGTAGATTTTTAAAATTAACATTACCACTAATAATTTTGACTTCTAGAAATTTATACCTAAAGTTAAATCAAAACTCTTTAAAAATAAAAGAAAAAAAATTAACATGCATTGGTGATGTCTTTTACGTAATCAATTATTGAAAGTATTTGTGAAAGAAAAAGATACTAACAGTTATATACATTAGAGGCTAAGAATATGCATTAAACTCCAAAAGCATGTTTAAAGTCCACAATGATATAATGTTGGTTTAAGGAAAGAACTAAAGTAAAGTAAATTTTAATTGAATTTGAAGTCCTAAATATTAGGACCTTCTATGTAGTTTAAGTAAGAAAATATTTTAATTTTTTTTAGTTGATATAGAACTCCTAAATATTAGGAATATAATTAAATGACTGTTTTATCTAGTAGGAAATATATTTTTAAAGGGTAAGAAAAAATAAATAACATTTCACTAAGAATCTTGGTGCTTTTAATATAGTATAGATTACGCACGTTGTGCGTGGAAGTCTAAAATGACTTATATTCTACCGTTTGATTGTGGGAAAGAAGAGGAAATTGTTCAAAGTTTCCTTTTTTCTTTCTTTTTCTGTTTGATAAGCAACAAAGTTTTTTGAATAATAATAGTTGGTAAGTCAAGAGAAGGATGTAGAGAGAGAAAGTAGAGAGAGAAACACCGGCGATTGTTGACTAAGGAAGCTGACAAACGCCGATTGATGGCTCACCGGAACCACCATAGCTACTCTACACAACCAACTCCTCCAATCGACAGACTAATTACGCCAGAAAATGGAATTCCCCAAAAATTAGCTCCAATTCAACTGTTATATTGGCTACCAGGTATGGGTAGTGCTCCGACGGTCATGCAAGCAGTTCCACCGGCGGTGGAGAAGGAAGATATGCAACCTATGGAAGCAGGTATGACTACAGCAGCACGAAAATTAACATACTCAGCTGGATCTCAAGCAAAGAAGACCATGGTTGAAGTAGTGAAAAGCAACAGAGTTCAAACTCAAGGCATGCAACTTAAATTCTACCCTCCGACAATGAAAGACGGAGTGAAAATGGCCAAATTAAACCCAATGGAGATAGAAAAACAGTCCCAGAAATGGAAAACAACTTTGATAACTATGTCCTAGGGGGAAATCAGTCATTCAAGGAGATGCTCAAATTTGTCTATGGCGTGTGGAATACAGTCACAACTCTAACAGTGTTGCTGCATGATGACGGGTATTTCATTTTTAAATTTGAATATATGGAAGATAAAAACCTAATAATGCAAAATGGCCCTTACACGTTCAATAGTAGACCTATGGTGTTAAAGGATTGGGACCCAAATTTCCAGATGAAGGATGAATCTATGAGAATTGTTCCAATTTGGATCAATCTACCTGGGCTACCGATACAGTGCTGGGCTGAGGAAAACCTAGGCAGGATTGCTAGCCTACTAGGCAAACCTATTTGCACCGATAGACTTACAGCAGAGTGTGAAAGGGTGGCATATGCTAGAGTACTTGTTGATATGGACATTACACAACCATTTCCTGATGAGATTTGTGTTGAGACACCAGATAGAAGCTGGATGCAGAGTGTTGAATTTGAGTGGAAACCAAAATTCTGCTTAGAGTGCAACAAATTTGGACATGGCACTGGAGAATGTCAACAAGCAAAGCAGCAAGAGGAGGAACCAATGCAGCATAAGAGAAGAAGAAAGAAGAGAGTTAGAAAGGAATGGAAACCTAAAGCAGCAACACAGGAAAACACTAGCACAATAACCCTGCAGCAAGACAATCACACAGAAGAACTAGTTGTGGAGATTCAGGTGGAGAATAGAGGCCAGCAGGTAGTGGTAATACAAGGAGCTGCGGGTAAAAAACATAAAGAGATCAACTATGAAGAGCTAGCGAGAAGAAATACATTTGCACCATTGACAATATTGGAGAGGCCATCTAATGAGAGACAGCAGGGGCAAAACTCTAGCACTAAAGCATTGGATGGGCAGCAAGGGCAAACATCTAGTACTAAAGCTAGCCAAATAGTAAATGAGGGTAGTACCAACCACCATAAACCCCCATGATCATTGTATCTTGGAATATAAGAGGACTGAATAAGTCCTTTAAACAGCGAGAACTAAAGAAATTCTTGCTGATAAATAAAGTAGACATGATAGCTGTTTTGGAGACTAGAGTTAAAAGGCACAGAATGCAGAATATCCGCAGAAAAATGGGGGTAGAATGGCAATTCAAAGACAACTATGAATATGCTCCAAATGGTAGAATATGGTTAATATGGAAAGAAATAAATGTCCATGTAACAGTTTTGGAAAGCAATGACCAGATGATCCACTGCCTAGTAAAGGACAAAAACTCATCATTTACCAGCTACATAACAGTTGTATATGGCCTTCATACTGCTCAACACAGAATCCCACTATGGAGAAGTTTGAGGAACATACAAACTAATGGGTCTTGGCTTATAATAGAAGATTTCAATAGTGTGCTGAATGTGGATGATAGAGTGAATGGAGATCCAGTTCATCAAGCAAAAACGATTGACTTTCAAAATTGCCTTGGGGATATTGGAGTAGGACAAATCACAAAAAGAGGTAGCAGATTTTCATGGAGAAATAAAAGGGATGCAGAAATCAGAATATACAGCCACATAGATTGGGCTTTTGGGAATGTTGACTGGTTCAATGCTTATAATAGGATAGAGGCAATATACATGCTACCAGGATGTTCTGATCATACCCCTATTCTAATAAACACTGATGTGATTAAGGTTAAAATGAAAAGGCTTTACAGGCTATTAACCTCAGTGATGCAACAAAGAAAATACACAGAAGTGGTTCAAAACATTTGGGGTCAAAAGATTCAAGGCTATGCAATGTACTCTATATGGAAAAAGTTGAAACTTATTGAGCAACAAACAAGGGACATTCATCAGGAGCATTCCTCAGTTGATCAAAAGCTGATACAACTTAGAGAAGCACTGAAGGAGACAAAGGGGAAGCTCAATGATGACTATTTCAACAAACAACTGATAGAAGATGAGAGAATGATCTTGCAAAGCATAGAGAAATGGGAAGCAATTCAGGAGCAAATCATGAGGCAGAAGTCAAGAGCAACATGGATCCAATTGGGAGATTGCAATACCAAATACTTCCATAGTTAGATGAGGGCTAGACAAGCAAGAAACAAGGTGAGCTGCATTTATAATGAACAACAGGTGAAGATTACTGAGCCTAAACACATTCAGAGAGAATTCATCCAGTTCTTTCAGCAACTATTGGGGACAGCAGCAGAGGAACTACAAGGAATTGATGTCAATATAGCACGAAATGGTCCTTGCCTAACACTAAATCAGCAACAGCAACTACTACAGGCAGTAACAGCAGAGGAGCTCTGGCAAACTGTAAAGCATTTGCCTAATGACAAGACACCAGGACTAGATGGTTACCCGGCTGAGTTCTTTAAAGATAATTGGTCAATCATTGGAGAGGAGGTCATAGATGCAGTACAACAAATCTTTCAAACTGGCAGACTTTTGAAAGAAATTAACTGTACTACTGTTACATTGATTCCAAAGGTTAAAGATCCCAGCTATATGAAGGAGTTTAGGCCGATTGCTTGTTGCTCAACAATGTACAAGATCATTGCTAAGATACTGACAAATAGACTCAAATTAGTTGTGGATATATTGGTTGGACCTTCTCAATCTGCTTTTATAAAAGGGAGAAACATTCTTGATAATGTCATAATGGCTTATGAATTGATTAAAGGGTACTCTCAAAAAGCAGTCTCTCCAAGTTGTATGATTAAAGTAGATATCAGGAAAGCATATGACTCGGTTGCATGGAGTTTTTTGAAAGAAATACTACTTGAGTTTGGGATACCTTACAAGATGGTTGCACTAATCATGGAGTGTGTATCTACAGTCACCTATACTCTACTTCTGAATGGTGGATTAACTGACAAATTTGTAGCAAAAAAAGGGCTAAGGCAGGGGGACTCTATGTCCCCTTACGTGTTTGTTCTAGCAATGGAGTGCCTCAACAGAGCCCTGAAGACACTGACACAGAACCCGGACTTTAACTTTCATCCTAAATGTGCTAGACTGCAAGTCATACACATCTGTTTTGCAGATGACTTGTTAATGTGTTGCAGAGCGGATGAGATCTCAATGAAGCTAATGATGGGAGTCTTTGATCACTTCTCCAAAGTATCAGGTTTACAAGCAAACTTGGATAAGAGCTCACTATACATAGTAGGTGTGTCTATGGAATTCAAAGACAAAATATTAGCAGAACTTCAGCTATCAGCAGGCAGCATCCCATTCAAATATTTGGGAGTCCCTTTGTCCTCAAGGAAGATTACTATTCATCAGTGCATGCCATTAGTTGAGAGGATTGTGGAGAGGATAAGAAACTGGACATCAAAATTCCTGTCCTATGCTGGAAGATTACAACTTATTAAGAGTGTCCTGTTTGAAATGCAGACCTACTGGGCTTAAGTATTTCTTATCCCAAAGAAAGTTATCAAACTTGTCAATGGTATATGCAGGAACTACTTATGGACTGGGAGTCATGAGAATTCCCACAGAGCTCCTATAGCATGGGAAACATTGTGCAAACCAAAAGCTGCTGGGGGTCTAAATATTATCAACTATGAGAGATGGAACAAAGCTGCTTTGACTAAACTCCTTTGGGCTATAATGGCTAAGAAAGATAAGCTATGGATTAGATGGATACACTGCCACTACATAAAGCAGAAGGACATCAAAACAATGGAGGTCCCTAAGCAGGCTAATTGGCTAGTAAGGAAATTATTTACAGCAAGAGAATGGTGGGGAAATGACATACCAACAACTGATTCTTTTGTTCAGAATGGGAGATTCAGCATTCAGAAGGCCTATCTCCATGCTACTCCAAGATATCCCAAGGTCCACTGGAAGTCACTAATCATGATAACTGGAATACTATCAAAGCAGCAATTTATTTTGTGGATGGCAATACAAAGAAGATTGGCCACAGTGGACAGATTAGCAAAATGGGGAATACAGGTGAATCATTCTTGTGTACTGTGTGGCGGAGACATAGAAGAGACACATGATCACTTGTACTTTGAATGTCCATACTCACAAAGTTTATGGACAGGAATACTAGAATGGTTGAGATACAAGAGGAAGACTGAAAACTGGGAAGTAGAAGTGCAATGGTTAACTACCAATGTAAACAACAGAAACCCAAGGAAAACTTTGCTAGGAGTGGTGTTTGCAGCAGTAGTATATCATATCTGGATGGAAAGAAATGAAAGAAGATTTCAAGGCCAGAGAAGAGAGGTTCAAGATAGAGCACAAGAAATTGCTAGGCAGGTGCATATAACAGGACAGAAGAAATGTAGATGGACACCTATATTGAGTTCACTAAATAGTTATCCTACTTGTAATCCATGGCAACTAGGATAGGATAAGGATCCAGCAGTGTTGTGGGATCTTAGTAAGCAACGTGGTTGTATAGTTTTTATTTATTGGTTCAGTCAGGAGACCTGTTACTAGAGTCCAATAGTACAGGTGATGTAAATTGTTAATACTGGTTGAAATAAAAATTTTCTTTCGACCAAAAAAAAAAGTTTTTTGAATATTCTAGCATAAAATAGACAGTTTCCTTCATACACAATTTTGTAGGAATTGTAGTTAAATTGAAAGTCTAAAATATCAGTTTAGTCCTAAATATTAGAGTATGGTTTTTTTATTTAGGTGCAAAGATCTAGAAAAGTCAAAGTGATGTATTTATAATAAACACCAAAATTCGCATCACATAATAAAGTTAAAAAACAAATAAAAGAGAATAATAAAATTTTAAAGATTGATTGTTATTACAAATCCAACTTAATTGCGGTTACGAAAGGTTAAAATTTGATTAGCTATGTTAATTCGAATACCTTCTAATACTGAATATGAAATTCGCGCCTCAGCGAGTTTGAAACCCTATTTTCTTGACAAGTGGTTGTAGCTAATGTTTATCTTTAAATTTCTTTCTAATATTTAGTATAACTACTTATAGTTATGTAAAATAAGAGATAGAGAAAAAACAGACTCCTAAATCTAACACTCTGTTTGGATCATTGTTCCCCATCGTTTTATAATGTATTGTATTGTATTGTATCGTATCGTTTTATGAATACAATGTTTGGATAGATTGTATTGTTTGTTATTGTTAAATAATATTTTGCTATTTGGTTTGACTGTATAGTACTGTACTGTAATTGATAAGTTTAGTAAAATACCCTCAACTGTTTAAATATTAAATTTATCAAAAATTATGCATAAATATAATTTTTTAAAAACAAAACAGAAGAAGACAAAACACCTTAAGAAAGCCGAACAAAGGAGCAAGACAGAAGAAGGCAAAACAAAGGAGCACAGCTAATTAGAATTGAGTTAAAAGCAAATTAGGAGAAAAAATAAAACAGAAGGCGGCAAAACACCTTTAACGTTGGCGGCAGAAGTTCTGGAAAAATACAAAGTAGGTTATAGGTTGGAGATTTGGAGTTAAAATAGTAAAAAAAGCTAAAGGGTAAAATAGATTGTGGAGTAATAAGTTAGGGTATAATTGAAAAGAAAAATAGGAAACAATCCCACCACACCAAATCGGTTGTTTAAAAAAAAGGGGACTTTTCATTGTTCCGGAACAATGAATTAACAATACAATACAATCAATTTCAATGAAACAGTCAAAACAAACATTATTTTGGGATAACAATACAATATGATACAATGGGGAACGACCATCCAAACAAGCTGTAAAAGAAAGGGAAAGTGCTCGATCAATAAGAATTGTTTATGGAACATATGTGATTTTCATGTACTATTAATATTGGAGTACAATTTTTTATTATATTACATAGTTAAAATAAGGAAAAATTTAATATAAGATTTAGTTGATTCCAAAATTCTAAATATTGGGAAAATAAAATGACTATTTTATCTAATGTGAGGTTGTTTAAAGGATAAAAAAGGCGAACGATATTTCTCTAAGGGCCTTCGTGCTTTTAATATAGTATATATTTATTTATC